TATTTTATTCTGTTCAAGTCTTTCTTTGAGAAGATTATTAATCTCTAAATTTTGCTCAACATTTATACTGTTCAAATATGTTTTCTCATCATTCAATGCATTTTCTATATTACTTGCCAATTCTACAGCCTTATCAAAGGAAGATGGACCCTAATTTCTTAACTTCAATCCTAATGTCTGTTCTGAGGGCCTCAAGAAATTTAGTGAGCTTCATTTTCTCTTTTAATTTATGTAAACTAGAATCCTCAACCGAATCTTCATTTATGTATTTTGTCGCTGTTGTAGTAATCTCGTCAGCTAATTCCCTAACAGATTGGTTACACTTTTGAGAAATGTTTGAGAATTGCTGTAGAATGTCCTGAAAGGATTCAACTCGTGCAAATTTATTCTTTAATAATTTTTCTAAATTTTCAAATTTATTTTCCTTAGCCACTCTTGGATCATAATTATTCATTAATTAGGAAATCTAGAGCTTTATCCCTACAGTTTATTTTCAGAATGATTATTTTCTTTTCATCTGACCATTTTTCTAATTTAGCAACACTATTTATTTGATCAAGAAAGAAATTTACATTTTCAGATAAGTTGCCACTAAATGTGGGCAGAGCAGAAGCTAGGGAAGTTGCCATACCAGTGTTAGATCTACCTTTAAGCTTTGACATGGATGAAGAAATATAGTTACTTATGTTGCATTACCTTACAATCTGCTATTTCTATTTTAATGTTATTGAGATCTACATTATTTTACACAAACACTTAGCACTCTCTCTGATAATTTACATATACATTTACCAAACATGCATATAAGAGTAGATAGCAAAGTTAAGGTAATTTTTTTTTTTATTTTAGTAATTAATTAGGATCTCCTGTAACTTTAACCATGCATATATCAAATTAGTGATGCAATAAGTACATTGATCATTAACACTTCTGGATTCTAATACTGCTGAACATTATTTTATCATTACATACCACAATCCAATGAAATTACTGAAATCAGCTTTTGATTCAAATATCTTAAAACTTTCTTTAAATATGCACATATATAACAATACATATGAAATTGAATTTTTGAATTATCCAAAATAGAATTACTCTTTCATGGCATATTACCCATCATTTATCATAAATTTTCAACAATATAAATCATATGTGTAGCAAATATACTATAGGTCACACATTTTATTTGAATTCTCAACCTGAACTAAATGATTTTAAATTATTTCTTTTGTCACGGCACCATATGTAGTTAAAATATTTGTATGTAGTAAAAATACTAATATATTTTAATTTCTTATGTAATGAAAATGTGTTAATTTCTGTAGGCTATGAGAAATATTTAATATAATTATTCAGGTGTATAAGTGATAACCAAATTTTGAATATCAATTCTATCAGCGATGAAATTATAACAGTGATTAAGAGTACATCACGTTGTTTCCGCAATAACCCGAATGATAGGGATAAAATATGTGACCTACAGAGGATAGCAAAATAAAGTACTTACCCCAGACGTTGTGATAGTTGAAGAAGAAAATACAAGTTATTCGTCTACAATTCACTCTATTTATCTTTCCTATCAAAATTTTATTGCTGAGCTCACACAAATAAACAAGAAAATTAAATAATCAGATCATAACTATAGTCCTACTATAAATACAGAGCGTCCACTCGTATCGATACACTACAGAGCACTATCCATTTGCATCACTTTCTATAAATCACAAAAAACCTGGATTCGAAGATATATGTAGACCAGGAGTACACTCATCTTGAAATTTCTTTTGATTTTGAAGCTTCTACCAGTGAATTAATTTGGAGCAGTGCACCACGTGGCGATAGACAATGGATGAGTCTTAAATTGCACAATGAGATCGTTCATGATTCTTGCTTAAAAAACACCATTCCACCCAGGATGAATTTTCAGCAACTGCATATAGAATGAATATATTCAATAAAAAACTACAGTTGGCTTTCTATAAATCAGAATCCATATCATCGGACCTTTCAGGAAAGTTAAACGTGCATCATGAAACGAGGTCGTAGGTGGAGAGACAGTCCGAGAAGAGACAGGCCGAAGCCCGTCCTTCACCCTTGAACTCCCAGCAGCGAAGAGAAAGAAACCGGTCCAACAACTGCCACCAAGGGCTTGGACGAAACGATGACGATTCTTGAAGCGATAGTTTGATGATAGATGCCGGCTTGCTAGCACACAAAGGACCTAGAGCCATCTAATTTTGAATGACTTAATCCTACTGGGCATCTGGAAGCCAAATTTGGGATTTGCTTTATTATCGATTTCATATTTGTAAAACTTTAACGAATTTTTGATTGACAAACTCAAGGATTTGAGAGTGAGCAATGGCAACATTGTACAGAAAAACATTTTTATCTCCAGCGAGCGAAACTCTGTATCGGAAATTCTAAAGATACGGTCAATTTAAAATTATTTTGCGATATTGCTCTTGAACTGAATTTTATGATTTAAGTGCAAAGAACATGATACTTAATAAATGAAGTTAACATAAAAAATGTTAAATAAAACGCCCTTTGGACGTAATTTAAAATCTGAAATTTTCTTTATTGCCTTTTTTTCCTTTTTTCAACAAATTTAAGTATGTTAATATTTTTGGCACTGCACAGAGGATTTATAATTTTCTTGTACCTTCAACGAGTAGATGGGAAGCACTTATGTCCGTTTTGAAAGCAACATTAAAAGGTCATACGGATACACGATGGTCATCAAGAGAAAATTCTGTTAAAGAATTAGATCTACAAATAACAGAAGATTATTGAAAGACATGGCATTAAATCACAGATCTTTGCAATGGACTGAAAATAACAGCATTTTGAAACAAATGAATTTAAAATTTTAATGTTGTTATCTGCGTGGAATTTAATATTGCAAGAAATCGAAAAAGTAAATAAAGCCTTGCAGTCAAAAACTATAACTGTCTATAAAGCCACACGCTTAATAGAGGGACTGTGTCTTTCATTACAGGAAATGAGAGATATTTCTCAATGCATTTTTGAAAAATGTAAAACTTCCGGTTTAGAGATGAATGTATCATCAGAATTTGAAGAGAAACGAAAACAAAAAGTTAATAAATCAAATTTTGAGGAATCAATTGTAGTTTTCAGAAAAATACATTTTTATCGAAATTGAAGAAGTTTTTGACGTTTTAATTTCACAATTGAAATGGCGATACGAAAAGTTAAATGAAATCCCTTCCGATTTTCAGTTTCCGGACATCGAAAAATTCTAAAAGTCTGCAAGTGTCGCTCGAACTGAAAGGTGGTTGACAATAATTCGTCACTACCAGGACTTCACGACTGGGTTCTAACATTCCCAGTCGCCCTTTAAAAGGAGGAGTACACAGAGTATTTTTGCCCTCTCTTCCGCGTGCATTCGTGGTGTTTTTGAACAGCACGTTTGGGTAGCAATCGGGAGGTCCGGTGTTCGAATACCAGGGAGAGCACTGCTGATTGCCTTTATCTGAAGAATATCGAAAAATTCTAAAAGGCTTCATAACTTCTATACACAGATTTATAAGTATGAAAAATTAAATATTCGCATAGAAAAAAATAACCTTCCCATGACGCGCATCACGAAGATATCGAACTGATGCTTAATATTTAAATAAAAAAAATCAATGAAACAGAAATGCCGTAGTAAGAAGAATTGGAGGCTCCCTTCAGCCCACCTCGACACAAGTGTCTCCATAGCTCAAAAGAAGGGGCCTCGAGAAAAAACTTAGTATCAATAGCTTAAAAAATGTCAAGAAATTTAAAGAAAAAAGGTAAATTGAGTTTATAAACTTTCAATCATTAATTTTTTTTAATTACGCTTTTACATTTAAGGATTCGACAACAAGAGGAAACGAGTAATGAAGTAAAATAACAACGTTAATATACCATGCAGACACCAATAATAAAAAAAAGGAAAATTAAATGTTCGAAAATAATTTTGATAAATTAGGCTTAAAAAATGGAACAGGGAAAAAAAATGTGTAATCAACCGGACAATTTATTAAAGAGAAAAGAATGCAAAATTCATATACTACATATAAAGGTAAAGTAATTACCACTGTACAAGCGAATTTAAAATAAAGTATTAACAATAATTACAAGATTAGTTTAATTACAGTGCCAGAGAAAGAGTATCACTGATGAACTAGTCTTTCATTAAAATATCAAATATACACAAACACATTCATTAAGAAATACTTAACGAAAGAACCGGCAATTATGAAACACTGCAAATGATTACGCCAATGCTCAAGTAAAAACAATAAAGTTTTTTTTTTTTTTTTTCATATCTGAACAACAGTTTTCACGTTGTTTCTCTTAATTAATTTCTGTAACAGTTCGAAATTCTAACTTATTGCAATTCTCATTTTTATATTAAAATAATCTGGCCGTCAATTAATTAATTAGGAGTTTTACACAAAGTTCTCAAAGCTTTCCAGGCCTTCTTTTATGCATCTTCTTTGCAAACAGTTAATATTTAAATCAAAAACTTTCAGTGACGACGAAAATACAGAACAACACTATCTAATTTGTCATAATGTGAGGTTCTTGGTTTTGCGGATTTTATTACAAATTAAAGGTAAATTTTGAAAACTAAGTCAGGCAAAAAAAAGTAATGGATAACTTTGTACAATTATAAAAAAAAGATTGCTTCCACAGACTCATACTTTTAGTGTGATTTCAAATTAAACTCCTCCCATAGGATCCTCTGGAGAACTTGCAACGTCTGTATGAGTGATAGGTTATACTGAAGTTGATGGGTTATGTTTGTAGTTAAATTTGTAGTTATCTTTCTTATATATTTTGTAGTTAGTGACTCATATACATATTTTTGAGTGAAATGAGCAAGAGGGAACAAGACAATTAAAAAAGAAATTTGTAAGCAATTTTCGATATCAAACTCTTTAACGTAATATCGTCAGTTGCTAATGATGTGAAATGAAGGCATACATCAACTTAAAGTTACTTACCACTTGTTACCTCGCAAATAAAGCCGAATTCTTTTTTACATGAGACAGTTGTCCATTTACCGTTGAGCATTCTAATTGCACAAGTTTCTTCGGTAAAATCCCCTTTATCTTCGGCCCAAGCTTCGTAAGCTACATACCAACCTGATGACCATTGCTGCTGAAATTTCTCCTAGAAAATAAAAAAAAAAAAAAAAAATATTGCTAAGGAAAATATTTCGGAAAAAATTTCAGCTACAAATTCGTAAGTCCTATACTCTGTATATAACTTAGTAATGATTTAGATGTTGGCATGGAGTTCCGTAAATATGCAGTTGCAACCAAGCCATTAGTAACTTTTAAATCTTTACGCATTATGACTCGATAGGATTTGAAATCCGTTAAAATCTCCTTACTCACTTTCGAGTCCTGTCGACTCACAAAGTGTATTGATTTATAAGCATTTCCATATCAACAGCTTCTAAACCATTACGCTTTAATTCATGTCGTATGATTCTTGCATAACGCTAACGACGCAGCTTGGAGCGGTTTGTTATAATCATTTATAATTTCAAGATAGAAAGGAGAAATATCCAAACTGAAAGTTAAAATAAAGATTTAAGGAGTACTTGCCAAAATTTAAAATTTTCTTTTACAAACTTTTTATTTTACATAGATATGCAATAAAAAGTCTTCGACTAATTTGTTTAGTTTGTTGTTGTGTTTGTAAGAAAAAAAAAAAAAAAAAAAAAAAAAAAAAGAGAATTTAAGGTCTATTTAAGGTTCAGCTTATTCTTGTAAATAAAGGAATTATGTATTTCAAAAAACCTTAAGTTAAAATTTCACACGAACTCTTCTAATCCATTAATGAGTATTTTATCGTTTTCAATTATATAAACTTCTTTTAAGGGATAATATTCCTTGACTAGATTGGTTGATAAATGAATTTGGGAAATCATTAAAAGATTGTATGATATTATATTTACATTACGCTCATATTTACATTACGCTTTTGAAATAAACTTCAAAAACTCTTTAAAGTGTGATCCTTGAAGTATCGCGAATATGAAGAAGGATGAATACCTGCAGTGTCTGCATTAATTATTCAATAACTGGTAGGCCTCTCACTGAAGAAACATGTATGCAATATCAAATTGAACATGGTATACAAGTCTGCAAAGATTTTCTGTAAAGGTCTGTGAAGATGTAAAAAATTTAGAGTAAAATCGGGGGTGCGTAAAAAGGGGTATTATTTGCACAAAAATGATTTTGCATAAAAGCAGAAATTGTTGGTGAAGACAACAAATTTCTTGGTGAAAATTTAATTCGAACTTTCGCTAGTAGAAGGTTCATACCACACTAGATTCAGAATAACACTAATATCGTACCGTAACAGAATCAGAATAACAATGAAAATTAAATAACTTCCTTTTCCTAATACCCTAGACTTTCCTGATTTGTAATGCATTTGTTTCCGAGTGTGAATACGTTGCTTATGATACTACTTTGACTGTCGTCTCAGACGCACCCAGTTCGCAGACTAGGCGCGGTAGCACTATTCTTGAGCGTCATGTCGATGGCTATTTTTGATCTGTGGAAAACATATCGTAGGATTTGTAAATAGCTGGCTAAACCCTTTTATACGTGAAGAACGATAGCAATGTAAAGATGTCAATACCATTATACAATAGTATTAAAACATCTGAAGATAGCTATTTGAGTTAGGAGTTTCAGCTATACAAGAATCTTCCTGTAATATTGATATTGTGTGGCTTTCTCTATCGGTGAAATTCTAAACTAAATAGTATTTACATTCAGTGCTTACTTCCCCAAACTCGCTACTTTTCACGATTCATTTTCTTGCAAACAGCACTTGATCTTTGAAATTTTTTTTATCATTATTCGCACATCACAGTCGGATTTAAATAACAATGTTTATCAGAATTGTTTAATAAAAAAGTAATAACAATACCTTAAGAGAGCTAGGCTATAAAAAATTAAATTTTGTTATTTCTAAACGCGTAAAATGAAAATTAAACACGTAGCTTATATTTTATTTAATGCTGATTACACAGTATATAATATCATTTAGTTCACAATACACAACTTATGTACGCAACATGCAATACACGCTTCACTACATGTAATATACCATTTATTCTCATTTAATTTTGCCTATTTTAGCTTTCCTAACAAGAAAGTAATATAAAATCCATCAGCCCAAACGCAAATTCAACTTAAAGCACTTTTTCCCTAATTCAATTTTTCATTTCATCGTTTCAGTCCTTAGAAGCAAACACTATAATGAAACTGTACAATTTTTTCCAATTACATTTTCATCTCTTTAAAGGAAATTTCTTAGTGGCTGTTCACTGATGGCAATCAAATACCAAAAGAGGATTTCTGAGAGTGGAAACTTTGGGGATTAATGGGATACTGTGATTTTTTACTCTGTTTTATTTTCATGTTTTTCACAAGTTGCAGTTTTATTAAGTACTAGTGCTTATGGATTTAGTATTCCAAAAGAAATTAAGAGTTTAGAGACAAAAAATGAGTAGCTAAACAATTTCAAATCAGTTACGAAGAAAGTAAAATTTTATTTAAATAACTTTCTAAAGCACGCCATAAATAACTTAGGTCATACAAAGAAACCTTTAATTAACTTTATTGATAAAAAAAAAAAAAAAAAAAAAAAAAAAAAACCCATTTACTTAGTAAATGCAAAACTAGAAGGAAAGCATATTAAACTATAGTTATCAGAAAACTAGTTCAATCAGGTAAACTTTAATGAAATAATAATTGGATTTAAGGAAGTTAAAAATATTATGTAGTGAAAGTAATGGTACTTGATAATTAAAATATAAATGACAACATTCATAATGTTTCAAATTATTACATTTGGTAACATTGATCATATAGGTATTCCTAAGGATAAAATGTATAAAATTAATAAAAATTTCATTCTTTTTTTTGCTAGAAGTGTTTGTAGAATAGAATGAATCACTTTTTCATTGAATACTAATAAGTTTCTAAATATATTTAAAACCAAACTATCAAATGTGCTTCAGATTTTAGTATTCTCTACGGACTGTAGTAAAATCATAGCCTACAAAACTGTGCTTATCACATTTTACGCATAAAAGTAAAAATCTGAAAGAATATGTAAAATTTAATAGCTTGTAACGTTCTTATTTATTCATAAAAGTAATTATATAAACACAAAATATTTAAAATAGAAAGATTTGTAAACTAATAATCCCGGAAGACTTTGCAATTTTATTGTATTTGTAAGTTTGTAAAAGCGTTTTTAAGAGTTTAAATATTTTGATTTTTGAATATATTTTAATAAGTCTTTTACTAACTAAATATGCTTCAAATTAAACAGATTTAAGGGCATTAATTATATCGGATACTGTTATTAATTTCAAATGATACTCTTTTGAAATTTGATCAGTATATTAATGTCAAAATTTAGTCGATACTAAAAAAAGTATTTATACTTTCTGACGAGTTATTCAGTAACAAAGAAGATACGAAACGACAAAGAGCAAATTTTGTTAACTTGCCGGTTAAAAAAGCATGCCAAACCTACGTATCATCCAAACGCTTCATCTTATCTCCCATAGATGGCAGCACTACAGCCAGTTGCTGTAGTGCTGCCAGTCTCTTAAGCCTAAATATTTATTTAATATTCAAACCAAAGCAATAACATATAGCAAATGCATATATATATATGCATTATATGATTTATCATATATCGTACACGATAAACCAAATAAAAAATTATTTCTTTTTGAACTCAGACTTTTAATTCAATTCTTAGTAGTTTTATCGGAGGAATATTTCTATAAAGTATTTTTTAATACCAATCGACTTTCCCAAGAGAGAACTCTTTAGTTATCGGCTGTTAACATAAAGAATATTATTAAAATGTCTACGATTATCACCATTTAGAGAATCGGATTTTCGTTTTCCTTTCAAAAAATTAACTGCACTATACACACAGATCGTATTTTATTCTCGAGTGTCAAGATGTAGAAAGGTTAGCTACTTCTTACTTTAATTTTTAGTTCAAATAAATTAGATAAAAATTATAGAATGTAAAAATTCTCTTTGAAAAACTTATAAGTTAAATGTCACGCTTAATCCAATTTCCTCCAACCAAGAACAATTCCTTTTAAAGACAAAAAGGTACTTTTAATGTCAGAATTAATAACGACAGATCTCACATTAAAAAGTTAAGCCTAGTCAAACTGCTACTAGCCAGGAAGAATCTACGACAGCAGTACTTGAACATTTTCAGTTACATGATTTTAACAACATAAAAATCTCAATGTGGTATATTATTTCCCAACCTTAGAATATATTTAAATCTTACAAGATAAATCGCTTTGTCCATATAGGTTCAACTTTTACATTCAAAGTACAACAAAAAGAAAAGACTACTTAGAGTGAATTTAAAATTTAGAGTAAGGAAAACTTTAAGACTCAAAACAGGAGGTACTAATAAAAACACAAAAAACCTTTTTGCTACTATGAATACCAAACAGTTTCAAAATATTAAGAAATTACCACAGGCTGAGTTTTTCGCAAAAAATATCCTTAAACTACATCACACTTTCAGTAATACAATTTTGTGGCAAACACTTAATTACTTCAAACAATAATATAAGGGTTTCAAAGACGCTGTTATTGACTACTGTAAATTAAAATTGTAGAAAAGCCAATTTCTTACGTAAAAGCTTTACTGCACTGTTGACTTTAATCACCCGGTTTATGGTTCACTTAAAATTAATCAAATATTTCAGATCTATAAGTACCTGTTTCCTGTCACTACGTAACATTACCATGTTTCAAATTTACAAAAACATGAGTAACATGATTTAGAAACCAAAGCTACTTGGCATAAGCTACTAGAATTGAGTTCTTTTGTAGATCAGCACCATCAACGTATTATTACTAGATTGCTTGGTTGATTAGCAATTCAATTGTGAGCCGCTATAATACGGAAGTGCCGACAACAATTATAACAACGAACCAATGCTCAAGCATAGTCGGTCAAAGTTCTTGTAATTGCTACACATTACTATTTTAATTTCTTCAGTGAGGTCCATCAGTGTAGCCAGTTTTTATTTACGCAGTATTCTTTACTTTCGTCACACAAAAATGTTTAACCACGCACAGGCCATTTAGACTCCCTGCCTGACGCATTTATAGTTAGTTATTCAGATAACTATAAATGCCTGGGTGCACTTTAAATTTATCTGAATAATAATATCTGTTGAAGGAAAGGATCTACACATTGCTATCATTATTAAATCTAGTTTCTAAAATAAATGTCCACAGATTTCATTGTGTGTGTATACACTTTTTGACGGACTGTCTACATGCATTTCTAATAAATTGTGTCTTAAATTTCAAAGGCTGTAACTTACTTGTATCTGAATACCAATCCATACACTTTTAGTGATGTTGCGAAGTATGTAGTCAAGGAACAGACTAACAGTAAAATCTGTTATGGTTACAAGGTGACCTTCAAAATTTCGATTGCATTCTTCCTCGGCGTCTAACCAACACCTCGCTTTGGGAATTACGTTGTAACAAGAATTTTCGAAATTCCATCCTCCACCCTGCTCCGCAGGACAAAACCTTGGATCAAGGTTTTTTTTAATGTTCTTATCTGAAAGAAAGAGTATGGAAAGATATAATTTCTTATAATTCTATCTATCTATTCATAATGTATTTGCGTGGACTACATATAAACTAGTAGGTCATTTTAATAGAAGAAACAATTTCCAAGCTAGAACTTAAATTGATGAATATTTCTTCCTCTACTACTTAACAGCTATTCAGATGGTCGCAAAAGGTATTTTCACTGAAGAACAAAATGTGATGACATTAATAACATGTGAATAAATATTTTTTTTCACCAGTAGCAATGCTACTAACTATAATAAAAGTATAGAATTAACTAATACCTAACAAACAAAATAATTATATTACCAAATATGTAGCAAATACAAAAAATTTGATGTGGACACCACATGACTTCCTTGTGCAGCTTATTGAATATTCTTTTAGAACAACAGTAAACCAATATTAAATATTGTTAGATATTTACAACAACAAACTGATATTAAATGTTGTTAGATATTTATTTTTAGACTAACTAGGGATATAAAATGCAGTTAGATTTCATTATTTTTCGAATAAAACTTTCTTTTTTAATTTGACATTGCCAAGATATGAATATTTTGGTCATTTAAAACACCTGTATGTGACAACGTATGAAGTGTCATTAGTTATATGTCTATCGTATGAAGTGTCGTAGTTACTCAGACTGGCCTTTGTTTTTATTTATACATTTATATATATACATTTATAATATATATATATATATATATATATGTGTGTGTGTGTGTGTACTATCGATTGACATAAAAAAGTAGTTTCACAACAAGATGTTATATCAGTCCCAGATACAAAATTTCAACGTTCTACGCTGATCGTTTTGGGTTAGGTGAGATACATAGATACGTACAGACGTCAAGATAAAAATCTCTTTTGAATCAATTTTAGATGCATTTTAAAATCTGTTTTGAAAAAAAAGAGTCCTTGATTCTGTCCTTAAGTGCAGTCATCACGCAAAAAATTCTTCCAAATGAATTCGTAAATGGCCAAAATCGGAAAAGGACAAAATAGATATTTCCGTTGAAATATAATACCCGAAATATTTCGTGATTATAATACATTATTTCGGGCAAGGAACTAGAAACCAATTGAAATGGTTCCAATAACCAGTAACACAAATAACCAAAACCAAAAACAATAATACTAATAACGATTGCCAATTAGTAATGTTACTGAATTACTACCAGGGACAAAAGTATTGCTAACATTATTATATCTTATACAATATATATAATAAAGTTAGCATTGTTACTAGTCGAGATCAATAATGATATCAATGACTAAGTGATGTATTAGAATACATCAATTATTTTAAATCTAGCAAACAGACTGTTAAGAAATGCAGTGTTACAATCTCAATCTTCTAATCCATGTAGTAAAGAAATATGTATGGATACCGAAATATTAGAAATAATTATGAATGTAAATGTACCTTCATTGTGTCCACAATAATACAAACGAGGAAGATGGATAATTAATTACTTACCTTATTGTATAGCGCCAAAAAAAAAAAAAAAAAAAAAAAAAAAAAAAAAAAAACTAACAGTTCACATGGGAATGAATTTTTATTTAAGAGTTATAATTGTGATAATTAGTACTCAGCATAAGACCACAAAAAGAGGTGCCTTTTAATCACACATCACCTGAACGGCTCTTGCATGTTCGTCGCTTTGAATCCCTATATAAGAAATAAATTGTTATCTAGATGCATCCTATCGAGTCTTTGTCTTTTGGGCTTTTTGCTTACCAAATGTCAACTAGAATCTAACAAGGATGAATAATAACCAAATATTATTTTGGTGGATCGCTCTGCACAGTCGAAAGAAAGTTTATCTTTTGCCTCGAGTCTGTACATAAGAATGGGAGCAAAAACGTGCTTTCTGCATTCTCCAATACACGTAGATGGTGATGTTTCTAATAATAAACTGCAGCTTTATGAAAAACGGATTTTTAGATGATATCAACTTGCAGATATCTCACTGATTCATTTCATGAAAAAAGGTACGAAAAAGGAAAGAGCTTTCTTCTGAAAACGATACACAAGCCAAAGCCGTTACGACAAGCCAAAGAAAAGTTCTCAGAAGCGACATCCCTCTTGCCTGTCTCCTTTCAAAGAGACGAAAAACTGACGCCGAGATTTTTATACCAAGCGTCGCTGCAACAAATTAGAATAGGAAATCGGAATAAAATATGTGAGGCATGCTTTCGGGGGGCAATAAGCATCAGTATTACTTAACATATTGATATTATTGAATAATAAAAAAATATTCTGTTTTAAAGAAAAAAATCTAGGAAACTTATAATCACGTTAGCAAGTGGGAGAACGAAATCAGTGCAATTCATACCAGTCAGTATATAAGAGCACAAAAAAAAAAAGTAGTAATGTTATTAAATTTGAATCTTTAGAATGCTATCATATTCCAAGTACCTAATAACATAGTGCTACGAAGAGCGGATAGGACCACTGGATATTGACGAAATTTCTCGAGGTCCTTGTGCCGTGGCACCGCCCTGTCAGTTCATATCCATACTTAACAAAACTGATGAAACATTAATCATAATAGTTGAACTTATGGAGCAAAAAGCAATAAACACGAATAATAATAATATAAAGAATCGTAAGCAACCAGAAGGCAGACCAAAGGCGAAAATTTAAAATTAATAAGAAAGTAAACTTTTTTTGGCACAGATTTCGAATAAAACTATCTATTTTGAATATGATCACACACAGATCCCTCTTCTTCAACGGTAAAAAATATTTTGGCATTTTTTCTGCTTGAAGAAAAAGTACCTGTGTTTCATTGAAATCGTTAGAGTTTTATTAAAATTCTACGACAAAATAAGATTGTTTGTATTCTGTTCTGTTTGCTTGCTTAATTTTTTTATTTGGTTATTTCTCTTACATCTGAGATGAACATCTTAAACTTATCGCCTCATTAGCTCGACCCAAATTCATCATCGTTTGGTATAAGTCGTTACTCCGTTGCGTAAAAACATATAATTTCCATATCTTGTGATGGAGGCGTCTTCAGAACTGGCCTCTGTGTAAAGGACACCTTTATGAGGATTGCCCTTTTCAAATTAAAATCTGAAAATCACAAAGTATTTAAACTGAGTTTTTTTGTTACAATTTATATGTTACATTTTGATAAAAATTTATTAACAATGTTACACTTATTAATTTAATTTTAAATCTCTCATGAAAAATATCTGGGAGAAAAAAATATAATCCTATTTGGACTTATAAATGTTTACGGAGTGTGGAAGTAATTTATTAATTTTAAAGAAAATGTCAACAGAGTTAATCAAATATTCAATCTAAGTAAGTTTTCTATAAAATACTATATTAAAAAGGTTTTATTTTTCATTAAATTTTTAATATTCTTCAGAGATTTCTTTGTATTTACGTATAAGCATGCTTAAAAAAAATTTCAATATTTTGTTTCCTTTTCGTCGCTTTATTATACGAACATATTATGTCTAATTTTTTTTGCATGATACATGTTTTGATATTCTTAAAAACATAAGAAGTGACTAAGAAGAACTGAAAAAATGATTAATTTGTATATTAACAGATAAATTTTTCAAAATCTCAATTAAATTTTTTTTGTAATGCCATTGGTAAGTCAAATGTATCATTTTCAACATATAGAGCTACAATTTAAAACAAAATAGTCTGCATGGTTGTTAATTAAAGTTGTGTTCAGGCTTAAGTTCTGAATTCCTTTTTTAACTAGAGCATTTTATGACCATACTTTCATTATTTTATCAACTCTTTCATTTTGTTTACATTTTTGTTACATATAAGCTAGAATTTCTCTTCATGCTTCGATATTATTAAAAAGGAAAGGTATAATCAATTAACTGTTCTTATAAATAGTTACTTATTAAATATCATCATTACCTTTGAATTTGAAAAAAAAAAAAAAAAAAAAAATTAAATACCGATGAAAGAACATTCCCGCGGCAGTGATAGCAGCCCCATATTCTCCTAAATGTTGTAACAACAGTAATGATGTAATAATGAAAATGCTGTAAAATTCTTAGGTTTGGAAGATTTTTTTAGCTCTGCAAAAATAGCTTGAAAGAATTGTTATTAATTGAAACGTAAAACAAATTAATGTTGAGTGGTCATTAAAGTTGACTGAAACTTTGGCATTTGATTCGCTTGCTAATTCCGCCTAATATAAATACAAATTAAGCGTGTTCTAACAATAACAGTCAACAAAATGTAAACTTTGAGATATAAATGCACGATACAAAGCTAGGCGAATTTTGCATTTGGTAGAAAGGCAAAATGTCCCCAATGCAAGTACAAGATAAACAAAAAAAAAAAAAAAAAAAAAAAAAAAAAAAATGTTAAATTGCCTTTAAATCCCTTAACAGTCTACTTTAACATACTTGGCTTTGCTTGATATGTTAATAATTTTGTGTTCCTGTGCAGTGGAAGACCGTTCGACATGAACGGTCATTTCAACTGGTAATTCTGTATAAAGCAAATAGATGGCGCCATGATTCAATTTCTCTATTTGAATTCAGTATGCGGGACGAATATTTACTCTCATTTTCGTTATCGATGCAAAATAACTTTTAAAAGTGGGTTCATTTAAAAATTCATTTGGGTTGTTGCGTATTTGTTAATTATAATATTACCTTCATTAAAAGAAACATTTAAATGTGCGTACAGGTTTATCCAAAGATAACTTTTGCCACAAGAATAGGAGAAAAAGATTCTTCTAAAGGTAAAATTAAGGTATCACAGATTTGTATTGCGTATTAGACGCCTAACCGAACATTAAAATGAATAAACCATTAATCAACCCACATTTTTGTTTGAGGGTTCCTGGTTAATTTACAAATTTTTATTATTTCATTATCTTTATTGCCTTGCCTTAACACTAGCTTTAGGCACATATTTGTATACCTACATTAAAGGAAACCTGTCAGATCTACGGATATAGGAAACCACGAACTTTTTTTTTTTTTTTTTTTCTTGAAAGAAAGATTAATTTGATTTAAAAACACTTACAATCTGAATACTAGAATTACCGATAACCGTCAGTTTGCTGGATTCGTAGTTTATCAGTATAAAAAAAGTTATGTTTTTATTGGTGTAATAAAGTTACGGTAGTTTTAGTGTTAACGGACTTATCAGACCTTGTACCAGAAAAATTTTCGCTAATGCTAACTACCGTCGCTAACAATTCAGTATCTCTTCTTGAATTACTCATGATGACTAAAGAAGGGTATTTCGTCAGAATAAAATAAAACTAGTGCTTTCTATAATGAGTCTATAATGATATTGCTAACGCTCATAATAATGTATACTTTCTTCTCGATCGTCTTTATTCCGTGCTAACGGAAACTTTTTTTAAAACGTCTTGACTCGCTGACTGGAATTAAAGACTGCAGATCGTTCCTTAGTTTTGAGCCTAACACTTTATGTTCACTTTATGTTCCTTAGTTTTGAGCCTAACACTTTATGTTTATATATATTTAGACAAGTATGATAGACATATAATCACACACTCTGATGAACCGCGATGCAGTCATATTGGGTTAGAAGTTATCGAAAGATATTTCCGTTGAATTATGACATTTGTTTAGTACCTACGTTCCGGCTACTTTTACATTTATCACCAAAAACAGTTTTAGCTTACTCGTTATTTTGACGGGTATCCGTAAAGATACGAATACAACACATAAAACTCTGAAATTAAACAGTTGAAGGGAAATAAATTTGAATTGTAAAACTAATTATTTTGTAATTTTCCTCATGACTTCCGAAATCCGTCGAAATGACGGTTCCCCTAAATATAGTGTCATAAATACCTGAATTTTTTTTTAATAGATTAAATTTATAAGATAAACAGAAATAAATTGAGAAAAGATCTAAAATTTTTAAGAAAAAAGTGTAGAAATGTGTTTGCGCAATGAAGTTAGTGATGCAGATTCTTATGCAGGCGAAAATTATGTTACGAATAAAGTATATGTTTCTGAAAACACTTTTATATAGGACCAGCTGACACCCGCCCGCTTTGCTGGACACACTATCTGTTTGAACCTAGAGTTCTTATATGGACGAAATGTCTAATTCGAATTGACAAATAATGTACATTTTTTTAAATTTAAAGTCGGAAAGTATCGTGCCAGTCAGTGAATCTGTCATACACAGATTTCTACATCACCCGTGAGGTACTGTGTATTGGGATGCGTCCCCATTATTTAACGCGATGTGATCCCCAGTAGGTCTACACCACGAAAACTTTTCTAACATAAAATTAAGGTTTATATATATTTAACTGTATCATAAGTTTCATGAAATTATATGTTATTATCTTTGTTATCAAATTTTTTTAATCAATTATAATTCTTTGACCTTGATTTTTTATGTATTATGGCAATTTCTATAAATAACAACATTTTTATTTTTCATCACATTAATTTATTTCTCTTAATAATAACATTTATTTTCATGAAACTTATGATAACAGTTAAATATAAATGTTATTTTTAACCTTATCATTTAAATGCTGTTTGTGATCATTGGTTAAATGCAAGTTATTTACCAATTTAATAATTTTAAAGGAAAATGCATTCATTGGCAACATTGTATTTCATATCTAGGTTTCGAAACAATAAAAGAAAATTCTGAACTTGGATTTGAAAATTAAATATATCAGAAACTTCTATTGCATAACAAAAATCCATTTTGGACAGGATTTACTTAAAATCCGTTCTTAGTGCGCGTCTACATCATGGAATGAGTAACTATACAAAATTTCAAGTCAATCGGATGGAAAGCTTCAGAGATCTCGTGATGAGTCAGTGGTATTTTGCTTATGTATATATAGACAGATTTGTATGTAAATCAGATATCGCTGACAGTATAAAAATAATTTATTATTATTAAGTAATACAAAAAAAGAAAAATCTGAAAAGGCTTGGATTACAGCGGTCGCCCAAAAGGGGTTGCTAAGGTTTGCTTACCTTTTCTCTGAGCTCCCAGTCTACCAATCTGCTGTTAACACTTACTTCTTTCTGGTAACTCAGTTCTTTTTGACTCCTTATTATTAAGCATCGTTTTCTTCATACTTACACCACATATACTTCAACAGCAAAATCACAAAAATTTTTAAAGCAGCATTCTCGATAGAGTCTTGGCATACATTTTCCCACACTTTTCAGTATTTTCTCAGTTTATCATGTCAATTGTACTGGCTAGCAAAGCTTTCTTTCTTTTTTTTTGTCTTGCTATTATTAATGTTTTGTGCGTTAAATTTATTCATTAAATATCATGTTCTTTGCACTTATGCCACATAAAATTCGGTTAAATAGCAAAATCACGAAATACTTAAAAACAGCATATCTTTAGATTTTTCGATATATAGTTTCGCTCGCTGGAGATAACAGACATTTTGATCGCAAAATAATCGCACAATTAACAGTCTGAGCCAACGTTTATTTAAGTCTGTTAATGTAGTATCCAACTAGGAACACATTTTAATTTGTTAATTCAATTTTCTGGCATTAAATATCCGCAATCGGTGGAGTTCGGTTTGTATGCACAGTTTGGGCCAATGTTAAGTTCAAGTTTTAAACGTAACGTTTATTTTAACATCCTCATGAGACCTTGTAGAGCTTTTATAGATGGAGCGATAAATTTGCTTTCCATTCTATAGTAGGATTTTCAAGACTTTAAATAAGAATTACAAACGAGAGTACCCTAAATGAAGTGCTATTTTCCTTCTGTAAAAAAATTTTAATATGGTATGAATATAGTTCAAATGTTAAAGTCTTTTCAATATTATGAGAATTAATACTTCCTTACCTTTTTTTGTTTGGCAAATGAATAATTTTTCATTGTTGCAGTCTATATCATTCCAATGCCCTGTTTCTCCATGTTGTTTGAATGAACGAAAAACCATTTCAACGCAGTCTTCCTATTAAAAAATTTAAATGTTCTTTTACTTTTGTGCTTAAATCGATTTAATCATTGTATTTAAATCAAATTTATTATTATTGTTTTCAAATTTTGTCGTTTTTAATGCTGTCATTATTTTTGATAAGGCTCTTTTTCGTTTAATTTAACTATCTGCATAAAACTACCGTAAGCATTTATATTACTATATTTGATGAATTAAGTTGTTCATTTGAAGTATTACTTGTTTATCAAAGGAGTTTTCTGACGGGATTGTCGGCTGCGTGTAATGATTAAACGGTGGGATTGCAGACAGAAAATTATTAAGTGCGTTATGATCTATTTAATCTAATGGATTTTATACCTGTCAAAGAATTTAAATCTAGTGCTGCAGGTAATGGATAAATGGGGATTGTAATTTGGAACATTACCTAAGACAAAAAAATATATATATCGATTTGAAAGCTTCCAAAAATTCTAGCTTGCTAGCTATTCTAGTTAAGGACCCAAATTTTAAGCTCTTATTTCGAGCTAGCTTTTAAAGAAATTTTATGCCGCAACTGTTCCTCATTTATTTTTCCACCTCAAGATGCTGTTAAGCATATCATCACTTATCATATATAGCCATAAACTTATAGTATCTGCTACTGTGTTCGTGTTTAAGCGCATACTTCTATTCATCTCATTTATACACTTTAGCTGACGAAAAAAGTAATGTTTTGACTTTCGAATTACAGCACTCTAAGCTGTTTTTTTATTTTAGGTCAACTCCTGTTGAGCTTTCTAACTTTTGGAGTTAAATGCCACGACATTTCTGAAGGAAACATGCTTATGTAGGTGCAGGAAAAAATTCATACGGAGAATTAGCGCAATTCCCATATTTTAGGTCTTATGTATTAAATTTCAACATACAGTTATAGTGTTTGCTAAATTCAGAATACATAATAGCATATGAAATTCATAAAAGGGCCTAATAATATCAAAACTTCAATGAAGAGAAGTCTTTTATTATCCGTTTTGTCTTTTTATTTTCTGTTTAATGAATGCTCATTTTCCCTGCTTCAAATTTTTGGTAAAGATTTGCTTCTATAGTAAATCGAGTAAAAATATTATTTAATTGCTTCTGGATCTAGACGCACGGTGAAGAAACATATCTTTATGTACTACTCTAATTTTATAAGGATTTACTTTCCCATTTAATCATTTACTTTTAAAGGTATGGATTAATTTCTTTCGTTTATAATTTTAAAGGGTGGTTTTCCTCATTTCTTGCATTTTTATGAACAGGTTTCTTTTACGACTTTAATGTCTTGTGTTTCAACAATTTGTTTCTTTCATTTCTTTACTTTTAACAATTACTTTTTTTACATTTTATGAATCAAATTTTCAGCGATATAGAAATAATATAAGTACTTTTTCAAACTAAAAACTTCTTACCTTTTCATCTGTAATTCCCGTGGGTTCCATGGGTTCCCAGTTTTTATAATCAACTGACGAACCATCTGCCCATTCGTAGCTTGATTCGTTAATCCTATCATGAAGGCCAATCCATACATTTTCCCGAACAGACAACAGTAAGAATGTTCTGATGAAATCTTAAAATACAGCGAGAAACAAATTAAAGTTTCATTCAGAAAATTTAATAGAAGAAAAAAATTAAAATATAAGGAAAGCTTCAAGTCTTTTGCTTGTCAAGTTTTTTTTATTAAAATTTAATTCTATGTGATTGTTAGATAAGCTGAATGATTATTATCATTAATATAAATTTACACTACGCGTATATGAGAAAGGAAGATAAGAGCAGCTCAAAATTCTAATTACCAGTCCAAAGAATTTTAACAGTCTGACTAGTTTAGGATTTTAAGCATCATTGTAAATCAATTCTTCCATTGTGTTTAAGCTCATTTGCTGAAGAATAACGTAGCAATAGTTAATTCATGATTGAATAAAAACGAGAGAAGCACAAAGCAAGTCTGACACAACTTTGAGTGGCTTGCCCAGTTAGTTGAACGCTAGTTACGTGTTCCTAGGTACACTTTATGGAACACTTGTTCTTCTGTTGCTTTGACAGGAAAGTAATCTATTGGCTCTACATTTAAAGTGACTTTGCTCATATGCTATGAATAGTTTAAATTAAAAAACTTTCGACCTTAATTGATTTTTTTGAATGGTTTAGCTCTGCTAGTAATTATTCATTCTGATGTTAATTTCATTGTTGTTTTTATAAATGAAGTAACGTTTAAATTTCTTTGTCTTATTTTACTACTAAGTGCAATGTTTTTTGTTTTGTTTTATTTCATGCTTTAAACTCAAGGAATGTTAGAAATAATATTTTATACAGTTTATGCAATTTTTGCATTCATTATACTTTATCCGAAACGATAACTCCTTAAATGTACGTGGCTGGCTTAGCAAAAAGAAAAAAAAAATAATCCTTTTGCAGAATGGCTGGACTGTACTTGCAATGGAAATAAATTTAAATGCAAAATCACTTTTAAATATTTAATAAAGATAAGGTACTTTGCACCTTAGAGTAATTAGCTAATTAACATATATTCTGGCTCTTTTTTCAACCATTCAGTTGTGATTATCTTACTAAATGTTTATCTACATTACAGCCTGCATCTCTATTACTCAAGAAGAGTACCTTCTTAAAGTGGATTGATTACCAGATCGTGATTACACGCTCATTTTGGATCTTTGAAAGTTCCTAGACCAGAAACGAGCTAAGAAATCGAGAGTATTTATTTAAGTACGCACAGCAACCGGAATACTTTGCGTAAATACTTAGGAAACACATAAGTAAAGAATTCAGGCCTCTAATCTCATATCCAGTTTTCAAGCGGATGCTTAGGAATTTGTAAAAATTTTAAATAGTAATTAAAAAAAAGTGAAAACTGAAACGAACTAAACTGTAGAGATTATAAGTATTTTCGGTGGGTGGAAAATTAAAAATCAACTGTGCCTTCTTCAGGATTGGAATCACTTATTAATTAGGCGTACTAATCACATACACTGCGAGAATACAAATGTTGAAATGCGATAATTGCTATTAAAATGATCGAAAACAAATTTTATTCTGTGATGAAATTGTTGCATTGGAGTTCTTTTAATATCCAAGTGGGTTGTACTTTAATTCTGGAAAAATCAATTACGTTTTCTTTCGGACAAAGTCACCTTGGAATTTTTTCATAAGAAAACGCAATAAACAAATACAAAACGGATATACTTGCTTAGTGATTAAATGTTTTTGCATGCCATTCTATTTCGTTCTTTATTTATTGAAATAAGTAATCTAAAAGATGTATTCCTTATGTTTAGAAAAGCTTTAACCCAAAAGAAATAAACTGATGATGAAAGTATGTTTTCTTGTAGAAGTAACAAGTTGAAGCATGTATCTTTCTAGAGAAAATTGTTTGATGCATGTAGTTTTAAACGGAGAAGATCCAACATCTTTTTACTTAGAAAAAGCCAACTTAAACCTTAGGTTGTGTTAGCAATGGTTGCTAAGCTTGTTTGTATCATATTTTTAAGGAGTTTTACACAATGATTTTTTTATAAAAAGTGATATGACTTTTAGGGAACAACTTATGGTACCGATATGTCTCACCAAAAAATAAATTACTTAAAAAGAATTATTGAATATATAATTGTAGAATTTTGCAGACTCATCTGCCCTAAAACTTAGAATAATCTGAATTAACATTTCTGCTGTATTTATTCTTTTGCCTTAGTTATTTCTTTATCATTAACACATTTTAGCAACCTTCCTGTGTAGTTTTTCCGGTAAAGTGTAGTTTTTCCGGTAAAGTGTAGTTTTTCCGGTGTAAATCTTCAGAATATTTGTATATCTTAAAATAAATGAGCGAAGAATTCGATATGATCTTTTGAGGTTAATATTCGTAGAACTAGCAAAGGAAACAATAAACTAATGTCGAAATTTGCTTTTACATACATAAATGTCTATAAACTAAAACTCTAATTATCTTTTTTATTAGAAACACAATTCCATGTTACATACGAAATACTGTTCTAAAACATTCTACTTTTATGCAAAACAAGAAGATGATATCTAAACCTTACCTTTTAAAGTTAATTAAATTCTGAAACTTCTCACAATTATACGTCTAATTTCTTTACATTTTCAAATGCAATAAAATGGATTCAGTTTTCTTCCCTTTTCAGTCCTTATTAACTACTAGAGATAAATTTCTTTCAATAAGGAATATTTGTCCCTTAACTAATTCTGTAACAAAAATACTTATATTTCTGAGAATTTAAGAGTTACTTTCATTTACTGTGTAAATTAAGAGATAAATAATTACAAATTACATAAAAATTTAATTTCGCATAACAATTCTTGCATTTTTGCTTGGTTGCCTTTCAGAAACAATGTTGATTTCACTCCATTCTTTCTCGTTTTTTATTCCGATCACGCATGAAAACTTATTATTTAGAAAAAATGCTTTATCCTAAACTTTAGTACAGAGACAAATTATTGAGAAAACTTCTGCAAGGATAAATATATGCAAATCCTTCAGTTTTTCGGTCTATTAAATGCAATTCACTATTTGATCCAAACCAAACTTGTTGCAAACACTTGTGACTCATAGTACTTATGAATATTTTATTCTTTCAGATATTTATCGTGCATTTGGCCCTTTTACGCCTAGCATTGAGGAAACTTCGTAATTTTGTTAAATGTTTTTAGTGTAGTGTTCACAAATAAAGTGCAAAGTTTGCATTCATAAAGACATGGAATTATTGCAGAAGGTTTCGAGAAGTTCTCTACATGTATTTAAACTGTTAGTTAGGGATAAAAATATTTAAACTGTTATATAAGGATTAAAAATTCCCTCCGTAACAATATTATAAGCAATTCCTTACTTTTAAAAAAAAGTACTTCTTTATTCGATGGCTACTTTATTTAAACGAAGCCCAAAATTCACTTGTTAACATATAGGATTCTATTATTTTCATTAATAGTTATTTTAATTTGCTAGAGTTTTCTGTCTTCTCTTTTCCACTCGCGTTTCCTTGCCAATATGTAAATCAATTAGGATGAACGAGAGTGTATTTTAACTCAAGTAGCGAAAGTTTTAGTCTGAGCTTTGTTTCGCTATTGTGAGTGCACGTTAACAATTCCGCTAGCTGTTACCTTTGAACCTCGGCTTCGCCTTCTTGCCTCCGAAATTATTATGTTGCCGGTGTCTGTTTCTGAGTCAAACCGTTAGGCTAAATCAAATTGTGTAGTCGTACACTACTATTTTCCTTTGAATTTAATACATTATCTTTTTTTTTTTAAGTTCCTGGCTGTGTAAGCACGTAAATCCGTGCCGTCTGTAAAATATTATGTTGAATAAATGGGTCTTTTATACCCTTCCTTTGTTGTAATCATTTTCGAGTCTTTGCGAGAAGTTAAACTTGGAATTTTAAGAAGGTCTAGTTACATTGTATGTTAGCAAAGAAGATTAGATCCCACAAATGGACTGGGCTAAAGTAGCAAATCTAATCAGAGCTCTTGACAAACATTCGTCCAACGACTGGCAGTCATAACTACGATCATTTTTGTCCGTCCATTACTGAAGAAAGTAATCATTTTGTCTAATTTATGTATTTATCAGTAATAATAAAAATATAATAGTATGAGTGTGTAGATATATATGTTACGCCTAAAGCCTGGAGTTGGTCACTTTATGAACTGGCGAAGAAATTTAACAAGATTTGTTGATCAATTCTCGAAGTGGACAACTAACTCATGAGATTAAAGCTTGAAAAACATAGCACTTTTACCATTATTGCGAACTCAGCCAGCTGAGAGTAACTGGAAAGAAATTATTCTCTACATCGCTTTTGATGATAATTCATCACAATGACGCTGTGATTGGAAGAAATGTGTATTTACTAGTTCGTGGTTTTAACTGTCAAAAGTTATTTTTTTATCCTTATTAGCTTTAGAGTATGATCAGAATCGCTATAGAGATTCTCATATGTTACAAAAGTAAATCAATAATTAAAAAAAAATAAAACGTATGACAGCAAGCATTTTCTCAAGTTTGCCAAAATCGCATAAAACGTTAAACTAATAATGAATTTAGAAAGTTGTTCTTTTCCTTACCTTTATTTGCGACGGATGAAAAGTAAATTTATTATTTAATGAACGCAACTGATAAAAAACAATGTTTTATCCTCATTATTAGATGTCATTAATATGTAATTCGAAATTTCTATGAAGATTTCTTTGTGATACAAAAGTAAATAAATATGTTATTATAAACATTTCATCAAAGATATAAAAATTGCATAAAAGTTTAAATTTTCTGGTTTACGCAAATTTTCAATATAATGCCATGCAGTCATGACAACAGCTTATGTTGTATCTGGCAATGCTGCCTAAAACTTTTCGTTAGAGCATATACGGCACATTTTTCTTCCAAGTAAGTTTAGGCAATCATAAGCTAAGATTTTTTTTTCATGTTTCTTATCTCAGTGATTACTAGAAATTTTCTCCCATACCCTTCACGTTTTTCATTCGATGCTCATTCCACATATTGTATAAACAGTTTGGCTGTACAGAAAAACAGTATTGCCTGCTTGAAACTTTTTTTTCCGCCCAACTGTACAGAATGCGATTTTACGGATGAGTGCAAGTTTTTTCTATTATTGGTAAGGAGTGCCTTTTCCTGAAATAGCATCTCAATATTTTAAGATAATGTAAACATAATACTTTTCCGTTTCATTTAGCTTTTTGGTCTTCTGATACAATTTTCTGTATAATTTGTATAGGAAGCTGGAAAGTATTAAAACTTAATTTGGATTTACAGCCAAACATACCTCCATACGATGACTATTGAAACCTTGACGAAGAAAAATTGTTATAAATTGAATGAATCATAGCTCTTCCTTCCAGCGGCCTATACTATTATTCTGCATCCGTGTGACCAACATATACTGGAAAACTTGTTTTTTTGAAAAAAAGGTTTAGTTGAAACATTTGCTCTGACTATGATGCGGCTTGCCACGTGTTATAGTTAAAGTGTTACAGAATTGGCACTGCCGAAGTTCAGCACACAGAAGCAAATAGGAGTTGTCTGGAGTAATAGATTTTTTAAAGTGCATTTAAACATAATTGGAAGCGATGTTCGAGTGATGAAGCGAAGGCTGAAACAAATGTTCATGAAATGAAGCTAGATGAATACCTACGAAGGCCCTGGTGAGACATACCTTGTTGCTCTTTGGAATGTATCGTAACCAAATGTCCTCCATATTCTACACAGCGCTGAGACGCTTTCTCCCATGACAATTTTCCAATTCTCTTTCTACCGCCTACACGGTAGCATTTGTCCTCTAAAATTAAATGATAAACAATAAATGCTAGGAGGGAAGTAACATATTTTGAAAGTAATAACACATAACAGTAAAAAATCACATATTTATAAGTAATCGAAAACAAATTAGTTCTAGGAAAAGTCATGATCTATTTTTGGTTTCATTAACAATGATGTTAACTTTTACAATGATGGATAGTTTCTCACCATATCAATGAAATTCGTTAACTATAAAATGAAGTTTCAAAAGTTAAAGGTGCCCACCAGCGGCCGAGCGGTAAAGTCGCTGAACACTGGTAGTTCGGTCCGAGGTTCGAATCCCGCGAACGGGCTGGCTGCATGGGCGTTTTCGTGGTTTTCCCCATGTGTAACGTGTATACGAGCCAGTTTCCCTTAGAAAGTCCTCCACGAAGGCATCCCTCCTCTTAGGCAGATAGCCCTCGAGGCTTTGCCATACTCACACACACACAAAATGATGGATATTCGAAGCCTTAAATCCCATGAATCTTAAAAAAAGATTCGAGACTGAAAAAAATAGAATTTTTGAGTTTCTTTTATCATTAGAATCCTAGTTTAAAATCCTAGTTAAAACCATTAAACACTGTAACTGAAACTTTGCAAAACTTACTTTCGCTGGTAGGCAATGAAAGCTTTCACTGAAAAACGATTATTGTAACATTAGTGTACATGAATCACCAGTGTCATCCCTCAAGTTAGTACTAAGTGCTATACTTTTAATATTCTAGAAAAAACTTGATGTTTTCTATTTAGTGCTTATTTGTATTAATTCTAGAATTAATTCTCTCCTTTCTGCACTTCCTTTAATTCTAAAAAAATTAAATAGTTATTCAAATATTTTTTCAATATATTTGTTTTGTGTTATTTTGTTTATATTAAAAATAATTAATTATAGAGTTTTAATCATTATATACTTCTAATTATATGTTAACTTTCATATACTTATAAGGTATTTCTCCCACTTCCCTAGCGTGCCTTCGTGGTGTAACGGTAGCACGCTGGGCCGGTATTCCAGAGGTCCGTGGTTCGATTCCCGGCGAAGGCGGTTGCATATTTTTCATCTTTTCTGCTTCCAATTAACCTAATGACTCTATATTCTAACTCGCTAATTGCATATTATCTTTTATTTTTATCTTCTTGGATGCATATTTAAAAGCTAAAATTTTTTTTTTTTTTTTTTTTTTTTTTTTTTTTTTTTTTTAAGAAATTTCAAATTTGTTGTAATTAAATGAAGGATTCGGGAGATTTAAGAGCATTTTAAAACTCATATTTTGATTTAAATTTGAATTCGGAGAAGTTTAAGATTTGACCCGTGCATTTTTATAGTGTAACAAACTTATTATGTTTTTGGTTTCATTTAAGTATGCAAACAGCTTATTAGGTTAAAGCGCTGAAACATGAGATACGCAACTCAGTTATTCGACAAATAAATTTTTGTTAGTTTTTTTAAGATGTAACTGGATTTAAATTTTCTAAACCTAGTTCAGTAGAATTATTTTCTCTCAAAGGATAATTGCAATCGTTTTATTAAAACCACAGTTAAGAAGCACAGCTCTGTATATGCGAAATCCTGTAAATCTAATTATGCGAAAACTCTAAATTTCTCACTTCTCCAAAACTGTGAATTTGTATTTTTTAAATATTTTCTTTTACATGCAATTTTTAGGCTTTTTTTTAATAGTTTACACTGTAGATACAGATATATGAATTCTGATATGTATGTAATCCTGTAAAATTCACAGTTCGATTTTTCTAAAAAAAACTAGAACTTTATGGCGCAACATCCCTAATGGGCAAAGGCCGGCAGTGCCCGAAAATCTGCTTTCTTGACCGTGGGCTCCGAGGTGCGTAAGCATAAGCCCTGACCAAATTGCCAGCTTGTCGCAGGACCCCAGTGTTCAGTCTCCAAGCGAACTTGGTACTCATTTTATCGAACGAAGTGATGGAAACCAAGAGATTAAAGGCTGAGTCGACCTTGCCCAGCCCGAGAATCAAACCCCGGAGCTGTGGTGCTGCTGCACGATGCGCTAGCCACTGGGCCACCGGGCATCTCGATTTTTCTAAAATCCAAACATAATTCTTCTCAAAGCAATGATTTTGCAGACTCGTCTTTTCTCATGGTAATATTGATGTCGTCAAGTTTCCGATAATCAACACTTTAGAAAAAAATGCTATAATTTTGAATTTTATAGACTTACCGAATGGAAACCATCCTTTGTTACAGGAAGATAAAACTTCTTTTTTATCTAAAGGTTGACTGCTAGCAATTTTGTCTTCTCTTTTTGACAAAGAGGAGCTTGAGACTATAGGAAAACCAATAGAAGAGAATAAGTATATATAGCTTTTCTTATTTTTTGGCATACTTTGAAAACAGTAACTTAAACCAAATTTTAAATCATAAAAATGCAATTTATGAAGCAAGCTATTTTTATACAGAAAAGTAGAAATAATATGAAATGATGAATTTACGATTAGAAAAGCGTTTTAGTGTCATGAGAATTGCTTCATATAATTAATAAAATCTAAATAGTTTTGAAAAGAAAACATTTGTCCATATTATGAAATAAATTATGTCCGTGGGCTGTCATACCGCCTGGTCTCATAATATTAAAAGCAGTCTAATTTAAATCATAATTTACAAACTGCAGTATAGCTCAGGTATATCAGCTTCATTAAACGATGTTGTTACGTATCATATAAAAGCCAGTAATTTCAAGAGAATTAATGAAAGAATATATCTGTGGTTACTAACTAATAAAAATTTAATAGCTCATCACGTGAATTTGATGTAGCACCTGATTTTGATTTATGAATAGCCCATTAGTATAATGTTTAACAAAAACATATATTAGCTATCTTGGACGTGGAGCATATAATGTGCACTTCAATTTTCCCTAAGCCAATCATATGCAGCCTAAGCTCGCTAAAACAGCCAGTCACTACAGCGATCGCGTTTCAAGGTAAGCAAACCTGAGAAAAAGTTCCAAATATAACGCCATTAATGCAGTTTTTATACAAAAATGCCCATTCTAATACAGCCTCCGAATTCCGTTCATTTTTCCGTTCAAATGACAATTTGACCTTGAATCTTTGGTCATGGCACAGTTGCTACAAATAAAACAAACAAAAAATAAGAAGATGCCATTGATAAATTGTGCCCCAGAAAATACATTTATTGGCTAACAATAATGGACTGATTTTATGTTGAAACCCTATGTAATCATAGTTTTGTAAAGGAAGTTAAAAGCAAAGAAAGGTAGACCACCAATTAGTAGTTCTATGATATAATAATGTTGAGTAGTTATTTATTAACATATTCCACTTCTGGTTACTAGAAAGTCCAAAACTCATGTTACAACCCAGATGTTAAAATTTTGACCGCTAATTTGTTACGTTCTATTACGTTTTTAGTCTGTCTAGTTATTTTATGTTTTGGAGTGTTACTGTCACTTCTCCCTTCCTACTAGCTTATATCAATTTGAACTTACTGTTACTTTTAGTTATCTCGCCACGAGTGGTTGGTTGAATTGTAAACACGAAAAGTGCATTTTATGTTCAAGTTCTGATTTAATAAAAAGGTTTGTTTTAAAACCTTCTTAAGACTCTGTCGTTAATTTTTAGATATAGGCATAATTCGCTGTTAATACCTAGAGTTTAGTTCCAGCTCATGATAGTTAAAGAAGACCATATTTTATAAATCTACCGAACAAATGCAATAACCGTGGTCGATAATAAGTTTATTTGACGGACGGCTGAGTTGATTAGATAAACAGGAAGCAAATAAATGCAGTTTAATAGTCATCATAATTGACAATTGCATTCTGTAACCCTAATTCAGGGATATGAATTCTATGATAATGAAATCCCGAGGAAAAGCGGTGAAAACATTCTCTTTATCCTTAAGGCTTTGGATCAAAGTATTACATAATATTTCAATCGCAAATATAGGAAACTGCTTTGGAGAAATGTCTTTTCTGTTGTGGCAGGAGATAAAATTTGCGAAATGAGTATTCCTATAGCATTGCATTTTTCGAAACCAGCACGGGAAAAAATGCATCAGTGTTCTACGTACGGAATTTCTTTTAAAAAATTTACCATCCACGGAACTGATAAGATTATGCTAAATCCATTTCTGCTCTACTAACTGTTCGTTATAAGGTTCTTTTATTGCAAGACGCAAGGGATCATCACAAAATTCGTCGACTATTTATGCACTATTATGAAATGTAAAGTATTTGTGCTATCGGAACTCTATCACTGTACTGGCCAAATAATAACGTTACAGTTTAATTATTAATATATAATGCTCAAAAGAGCAGGTAACAGTAGTTGTGTAACTCTTGTGAGTAAATTTGTATGTTTTATTACATTTTTTTAATAAACAAATCATCTTCTTGGATATGATAACTGCAATATAATGCACACAAGTAATATCTAAAGTAGCAGGTATTATACAAATAATAAAAGTAACACTTTATCTAATTTTTGAATTAATAAATTATTGATATTATTTTTAACTATAAGGCACACGAGTGTAAGGTTAACCGAATACTGGAGATTTTTCACGAGTTCTGTTCCACTTGAACAAGCTGGCTTCATCCAGTGATGTGTTTTCCTCGTGTGCAATATGTATACGAAGTGGTTCTTTTAAAAATTCCTCCACGATGACTTCTTTTCTAAGGCAGATAAGCCGTATGTGTTTGGAATAATCTATCAACCAATCCACTCTTAGTTGTAAATTTAGTAGACTGTAGTAGGAGGGTAAATAAATGTTACTACATTTATAATGTAAAGTATAATTGATTATCGTTTTAAGCGCATTCACATTTAAATTATTTTTATAGAAAAAATAAAATATTAATAATAAATAAAGGAATGTATTATTAATAATTAGCTATATTTTCAAGAGAATAATTTCATTTTGTTGTATAAGTTTTTCAAAATTCATCTGGCAGACTTCGTTTACTATTTCTGCTATTATCTCAAACACTTTTCGTTTCCTATTTGTATTTCCGTTCGACAGTTGTTTAAAATGATAGTTTGGGATGGTAATTTTTGCTTCGATTGCAATTAATAAATTTAACTTTTTTAGATACATTAACTGGCAATCCGGTTAATCCATGTCAGTGAAATGGCAGTTAACTGTGTTGGACACAATTCTATCTCTAATGTCAATAATAACTAAAAAGACACTTCAACACTTTATTTTTACCTAGAACAGGCGTTCTTAAACGTTTTTAAATTTTGAATCGCATTAATAAGAATACAAAATACACGTATCATCATGTATCATTATATATGTGTATATCAAAAGGAGCACCATTTTAGATTAATTTTGAACATTTGTTTAAATCTTTTGTGTAAAAATTGCAGAAACCAAAAACAATATAATGTACGGTTAGTGTTATATGTACCAGAGTTTAGAGAAACCTTGATCTAGGATATTTAGTTGAGAAATTTGTTGCATTTGATATAGGTTAGGTTATATGTAAAAGAATAGTTGCAAATACTTATATAAATGACACTTACTAAGGATTTTACAAGATGTAATATTTTGTAGGCCTTTCGGTCCTTTTATTTGTTTAATTTAATTAATCCATTTTAGTGAATTTTCTGATTGTCATACTGCTGTGTGTTTCATATTTAGTTCCGTATTACGACGGCTGCAAATATAACATATTAAGTAACTTTGGTAATATATAAAATATGTTTGTTTACTATTAGTAGTAAGAATTTAATAGCGTATTAGTAACGGTAATAGTAAGCGGAATATCCCATGTATCTCTCTCGTTGTTCTATTCTTTCGTCGTATCCATAAATAGTAGGAAATTATATTATATAATTTGTAAAAGAAGTTGTAAAATATAAATATGTATTTACAGTGTATAAAATTTAATTTTCTATCTGTTACATTAAGTAGCTTTTGTGATATGAAAAATAGTTTTCTTTAATGTGAAGTTAATTATTATTAGCAAGAAATTAATAGCGCATATAAGCGGAATGCTGCTCATGTATCTTTCTCGCTGCTACATTAATATTCGGTAATAATTTTTCTTACTTCTGCAATAGTAAGGTAGCAAAAAATAATAGCTCACAGAAATTTCATTTATTATTTATTTAAAAAACATTCATTCTGAAGCTTTGGAAGAAATTAAAATGTAAAATTTTCAAACACATTTTGATTTTTGATAACGAATCAAACTGACATTTAAGTTACAATGAAGTCTAGTATACACTTTAAAGTCATTTAATCAATACGATTCTAGAGCTCTTAATTTCATTTACCTAGAATAATTCTTTTAAAAAGCCTTTGCATTGAAAAATGAGTAGAGTAATTTATTACAAATGGTACTGGAAAATAAGAGTATGTATATATTTGAGCCCAAAAAAGTATCGTCGAAGAATTTAAACATAAATATACCGAAAACAGTTTCATACCAGAAATTTAAAAAAAAAAAAAAAAAAAAAAAAAAAAAAAAAAAAAGTAGCTTTTTTGCTACTTCGTAAAATTTACGTTTACGCTTAAATTTGTACTCATTATGTAAACTCTATAAGGCGTGGAAAAATCTTTTTATTTTAAGGGGTAAACTTTTATTAATTGTAAGTAAAATGAAATTCATAAAAACATTACCTTGATGTAAAGTAACCGACAGGGTGAAAGCAAGCCATATCATTACCATGTTTGTTTCCAAATCGCAGGATATGATGCGACAACTTAGGCAGGAAGCATTTTTTTTTTTTTTAAATGTGGCAATTTCCTCTTAGCCCGGGCAAAGCTTAGGTTTTTTGAAATCGTTGCCACGGTTCGAACGCTGTACTTTGCAGGAAATTACGTAAATCATAAATTCAAAAGAATTATTGGTATTAGAAACGTCTTTAGTAGAATGTGCCCAAAATATTTGGGTAATACGGTCTATATGTTACGTAATGCTGCCAAGAGTTTTCCGTCCATATGACTTGATAAATATTATTATTGCGCAAATTATGAATTAATAAATAATTTTATCACGCGGGTCTGTCAAAAACCGAGTTTTCAAAATTTTACCATTTATGTGAATAAATATCTTTCAAGTAATAACTGCTTAACGAAGTGAACTAAAACAAACAAACGCATTTCTTAAAAGCTTGGTCTTTATTTTATTTTTAATAGTTTAAGTAACATAATTAAAAAGCATTTAATTTATAGATAATATGATTAATAACTATGAATTTTTATTTTACAAATGCCAAACATTAGCGCTTAAGCCATTAGTTCACGGGTTCACGGACATTTTAACAATGTCCTCATACTGAGAAAGGGCAAGGTGGTATCGCAAACAGGCACGTCCGGTCAGATGTCTAAATAGAGCTACCGCAGTCTTTCTTGGAAAACTGGGAATAAAAATTGTCCCTTCCTTCAGAATCCTCCAAGTCTTATCCATAGCACGTTGAATCATATCCTGCTTAAGAATTTTCTTAAGAGTCAGGTTAACAAACAATTTAGTCGCATGAAATGAAAGCGGTCGATTAATGCGTTGCATTATGAAAGTTCCTTTCTTAGCCAATGTATCAGATTCTTCATTTCCCATAATTCCACAATGGACTTCCACAATGGGAAGAAATTATGTGTGCCAATGCCTTAAGCAAAGGCCTACAATCTAAGATTCTTTGGGAACTATTTTGATTATTCCGAAGAGCTTGAAGTGCACTTTTGGAATCTGAAAATATGACTGCCTTTACAAAAGAGTGGCTATGAATCGACAGTTGTTGAATAGCCACAGCAATGGCTTCAATTTCACCATCAAAAGGTAGTAATAAGAGGGCCCATTGGTAAGTAGAAACTAAAAAGCTCGCTATAAATACCTGCTCCAGCAATGAGCGTTCTCTCTAACATAGAGCCGTCAGCGTAGACATGCAACCACTCGTTTTGGGGATAACGAATCCCAAAAGTTTCCATTGCAATAGATCTTAATTGTGAATCTCTCTTTTCGTTTTTAACAACTCTTTGAATAAGATTAAGATTTATATTCAAATTCAAAAAGTCCAAGAGACAATGAGGAGGAGGTAAATTTAGATAATCTCGGCTCAATTCCTAAGCATCAGATTCTATCTGAGCAGCCTGTATAAAGCCAATTTCAGTTTTAAGATGTCTAGAAATTTCCTTATTATAGCTCATCCAAAAAGGGCTATCGGGCAAACGCACCAGCTTCTGGTATGATAGGATCGCGTTTCTCTTAATACAATCATGAACAGGTTCCAAACCGGTCAAAAGCTGCATTGCAAGAATAGGAGCAGATCTCACTGCCCCAGTAATTATGCGCAATGCTTAGTTCTGGAAGATTTGAGGATCTGGACTCATTTTTCGGAGCCGTGATGAGGATCTCGCTACAATGACGAATGATTGGTTGAATGTACTACCGCTTTATTTTTCAAATGTTCCGCATGTTTCCTCCAATTTAAGCGTGATCGAGGATGCAACCCAAATTTTTGTCAAACCATTATATTAAATATCTACACCCTTATATGTAAACTACGGGGTAAAAGTCTCTCTATTCAGAGTGAAGAACTAGCACGTGCTCTTATCCTGGTTTACTCTCATACCATTTTTTGACACCAATATTCCAGCTCAATAGAGCTCTATTCCAGAGCACTATTAAGAGTCTCATTTAAACCATCCTTCTTTTTAGAAGCACTACTTCAGATAACCAAATCGTCGGCAAGAAGAGCAGAATCCACCCACGGGGCCAGAGACTCTGATAAATCGTTAATAAAAACATTAAAAATAATTGCGCTGATGACTGCTCCCTGTGGGAGGCCAGTTTCAGTCTGTTTAAATCTAGAAATGTCACAGCTGTATCTGATAGCAGAACAAAGCTGTGATAAAAAATTCTTAATCCATAAAAACATCCTGGCATTTATTTCCAAGTTCTCTAATTTCTGAATAGTACGTAGTCTCCATACTTTATCATAAGCCGCTTCGAAGTCTATAAATGTTGCTAGGACAGACAAGTGATTGTCTAAAGAATCTTTAATGGCTGGACTAACATAAGATACCTGTTAGACAGTGGAATGATATTGTCTGAATCCACCTTTTTTAGACAAGAGACAGTTATTCCCCAGAAACGAAGTTAGTCTAAAGATTATTATCTTTTCCATAATCTTCGACAAAACACTAGTCAATGCAATAGGGCGATAGCTTTAAACATTATCTGCAGGTTTATTTTTTTTTTTTTTTTTTTTCAAAATAGGGATAATAATGGCTTTTTTCACATAGTAGGTAAATAAGAACATAAGAAGAAGGAACATTTGAGCGTTGCATCTTAGATGTTTAATAAACTCTGGATGTATATTATCTGAACCTAGGCTTTTTCCTATCTTTAGGAAATTAACAGCTTCTTCTAGTTCTAAAATGTCAAAATCTCTTGTCCAAATCCCATAGTCCTATGGTAGTCCTTGATCAATTTCTTCATCATGTTTTGATCTCTCTTAAGTTCACCACTCAAACGTTGCTTAGAAGCATAAAAATTCATAAAAGCGTTAGAAATTTCCTTGTCAAATTTTAAAGCCTTTCCTTTAAAAATTATTGGTACTCTTGAGGAAAGGGGGTCGTCACGTTTCAATTTATTTACAAATTTAGAAACCTTAGCACCGTCTTTAACAGGAATCTACATTTGTTTTTCTATAGTTCGTTAGTTTACTAAAAGGAACCTCCAATTCATCATGGTAAGCCTTCCAAATGACCTTCCTAAAATTCCACCTGTTCCTAAAATAATACTATTGTTTAGATATTTTCGCTTTAACTCGGAATGAAGTAACAATAATGCAATAGCCAGAGCCAAGATAATAAATTATTTCTCTGTTCGCTTCATTTGCTAAGTCACTTGAAGCCAAAGTTAAATCAGGATTAGTACTACTTCCATTATAGTGAAGGTTAAGTAGGAGTGACCGAATTTCTGCAGATCAGTTCTAGAGGATTGGAATCCAAGAGATTCTCCATAGCTCTTCCTGCACTGTTTGTGTCTCTATAATTCCAGCGTAAACTATGCGCATTTAAATCTCCACATTAAATTGTTTTATTAGGAAACTGAATGTTACCAAAATTTAAACGAGAATTTCCTGGTGGGCTGTAACAGTTAAAAATTTTAAAATGGTTCTGATAAATCCAAACATGGACTCGCACCATCTCAGCTCCACTATCGGACGAAAGGTCATTGATAATTTCAAACGTAGAAGTTAAAGTGTTCTTAATGCCAGTTAAAATACCACTAGCATTATTCCCTTTTATTTTTTTACTTGAAATTATTATGTTTTAAGTAATAATTTCAAGTAAAAAAAAAAGGGAATTTATATTTAGTTAAATCATTATATTCAATTAGCAGTGTCATAAGCAGAAATCCAACTACAGATCTTCCTCTGCAAGATGGACATGTCACGGACTAACACCTGATGAAATCATATTTGGGGGAATGCGAAAATTTCGTACAAGGTTTACTTTCTATATTTGTATACTTTATATATTTGTACCGAAAACGTTATTTGCATTCTGAAAAGGCAGTCAGATTTTGAGGAAATTGATTACATAAGTAGACAAAATTTTTATTTTTTGTTTCTTTTTCCATGTCTTTCTTAGAATATATTTAAAAATTGCACTGCATATCATAGCTTATGCAATTAAAATAATTTTACACTCATAATTAATTCTGAACTGCCTTGCATTACATCGATAGTACTAACTTTAATGATTCCAATAATTAGAATAAGGCCTTAGAATTTGGAAGTAGTGTTTTTATAAAAATTGAAGATTGATGTAAGAATTGCTTAAAATCTGAGCATCAAAGCCAAAATCACATAATTGTTTTGCATATTTAAATTACAGCAACTTAATTACTGATTACCATTCTTAATCAATATTAATTTTAAAAAAATTAACATTTTTGTTTCTTCTTTTTCCCCTTTTCCTTTCTTTCTTCTTTCATTCTTTTTTAAACTGAAATCAGAATAGTTCTAAAAATACTGGATTTAAAGTTAGAGAGGGGAAAATGTCTGTAAAGTAAAAAAAAAAAAATACCATTTAGATATATCATCAGCAGTTTTCCATTACAGATCAACTCAGAGGTATGTTAGGCTGAAATTCAGACGGACATTGCGGTTTCAATAAAGGAAAATGCATAATATGACTTATTATGTGTAGCTATTTGCATTAGCAAATTTCATTATTCATTCATTCATATGCATTAGCATAAAATAGAATAAGCATTATTTCAAGAGTTTTTGATTATAAAATCTGTTCATGTATTAAAAGCTCTGATCTGATTTGTTCCGCACAGAGTCGATTTTTAAATGTTTTGACGTGATGCTGACTTCAAACAGTACCTTTCAGGTATTTTCTTTCAAGATATTAATTAGTCAATAATTTTCTGTAGATTGTCAGTCTTTAAAGATTGTATGAGAAATAGGATTTCAAGATATGTGGAAAGTTAGTTAATAGTGTTAGCATAATATGAGCTAAATGGTATGATAAATTGCTCGAAAATTTATAGCATTAGTTTTAATTTCTTCAGTAAAACCTAAAGCAATTATTTATTATTAAATCTTAAATATTATTACTTTCATTTTGTGGAGAAATATAATGTGAAAAACAAGCCAAATCGGAAGCCGTTGATAACCTTATAAGGTATTTTCGTCCTCCTTTCAGCATGCTTTTGTGATGCAACTGATCCAGATTCGAGTCCCGGCGAGGACATTGCTCATTTTTCATGCCTCTTGCTTAA